TGTGTGTGTGCGTCTGTGTGTGTGTGCGTGTGCGTCTGCGTGTGCGTCTGTTTGCTGCTGAGAACAGCCCCATCCCGTTTCTAGCCTTTCATACTGAACAAGCAGCTTCAGTTAGCTACACCGAGGGGAGGGAGCCACATTTTTCCTGCACCTTTAATTCTTCATCGTCAGAGAGGCTCTCCCTAAGGTCCTCGTCCCTGACAGCATCCTTCAGCTGTTGAGGAAGCCGGTCAGCGGAACTGGTGATTCACTGGTTGATTGAGTACAGAGCTCGTGCTCTCTGCCATTTCCTCATCGGATAGCTTAAGGGAGAGCAGTTTCAATCCTGTCCTTCCCCCTCGAACCCTGGGGCCATCCCACGGCTCCTCAGAGAGCCCAGTAAGTGGCTTAAGTGTACAGATGTCGCAGGCCTTTGCCACTAGTGGTTTTTTACATGCTCCCAAGCTCTAAGCGGTAGAAAGCTTCTACTTCAGAAAGAGAACCCCAGTCCTTGCCAGCAGCGCACTGCAGGAGCTCAGATGCACTGGCTCTCTGTAGTGCCTTGGTGAGTTCTGTCACTGGCCTAGGGAGTGAGGCTTACCGTTGCTCAGGGGCTTGCGGTGGTCGTCTGTGTGTCTGCCGTTATTACAATTTGTCACTTCATAGTTTTGTCCGTAAGTTCTTGTTGGTGTAATTGGTGTGCTCGCTGCATGCACTTGCTGTCGTACTTGTGTCAAATGATTCTCTAACTTCCTTTGGAAAGCACTAATGAAAAGTGCTGTTTCTCTTCTCTATTGTTGGGTTTTTTGTAAAGTTGCTCAAATGCTCTCAGGTATGGCGGCTCTGAATGGAGGACTTGGCGCCACGGGCTTGACGAATGGCACGGCGGGCACCATGGACGCCCTCACCCAGGCCTACTCAGGGATCCAGCAGTACGCGGCCGCGGCGCTGCCCACGCTGTACAGCCAGAGCCTGCTGCAGCAGCAGAGCGCGGCCGGCAGCCAGAAGGAAGGTATGTGCCTGGGCCCGGGCCGGAGGGCAGCGTTCGCCCCCAGAGCAGAGCTCCAAGGAACTTCCACCGAGCCACTGTCCTGAGAGAAAGCAGTTGTTTTATTTCTCCTACTCATGTTCGTTTGGTTTTTCGTAAAGAAATCTGACAGGCCCTTTCAGTCTTCTTTCCTGTCGTATTTAGCTTTACTGTTCCTCTCCCTGTTCAGGTGGAGTCCTCACCCTCTGTGCGCCATACACAATTACCTAGTGATTGCTGCCGTCGAAAAATTGCGGGGAGCACCCTCTCCCGAATCAGCAGGGCCACCTCTCATTTCTCCCCTTCTATACAAACTCCTCATTAGAGGAAGGGGTGGGTCGATGCAGCCCCCTGTGGGCTCGGCCCAGCTTTCCCGCAGTCCACGTCCCCCGTGATGGTGGAGCTCACCTCTTAGTCCATGATGGTTTCCAGGTTAATGAAAAAATCCACTCTTAGGTTTGACTCAGTCTCGGTTTAATCAGGGGTCTTCTGGGGAAGCAAATAAGTGATTGATTGCCTTGCTTCTCTGCCGGTAAGGCAAAATAAACATCAGGAAGTGAATGCTAAGAATAAATGAAGGCTAATTATAAAGCAGTTAATGAGCTGGCCCGAGTAGGGAGGGCTTGTGTCTTTCTTTCCTCCTTTTGGCTCCTTCCTCCTTGATTGAAATTGCTTTTAAAGCAGAATCTTCACTGTGATATTTATTCTCTTTCTGACTTGTTTTGAACACAAGAAAAGAAATTAGAATAGGGAAGTACTTGCTGAAGATGTTTTTAAAATTTATTTCCCTTCTTCTATATCCTCACCCCATAGTTCCAGACTGGTTTTTGTCTGAATATTTTGACTTTAATTAAACATGGTGTCCTTTAAGAAATAGAAGGGTTTTTCTTTTTAAGTTGGGAATAGTAAAAGGGACACAGCTTTAAAGATACTCATGTGTTTTTGGTTTTTTGGGGGGTTTTTTGTTTTGTTTTGCGGTACGCGGGCCTCTCACTGTTTTGGCCTCTCCCGTTGCGGAGCACAGTCTCCGGACGCACAGGCTCAGCGGCCATGGCTCACGGGCCCAGCTACTCCGCAGCATGTGGGATCTTCCCGGAGCCCGTGTCCCCTGCATCGGCAGGTGGACTCCCAACCACTGCGCCACCAGGGAAGCCCTATCTTCCATTTTTAATGCTGTTACATATAAACAGAAAAACATCTTTCTTTAAAAAAACAAAAACATGGGCTTCCCTGGTGGCGCAGTGGTTGAGAGTCCGCCTGCCGATGCAGGGGACGTGGGTTCGTGCCCCGGTCCGGGAGGATCCCACATGCCGCAGAGCGGCTGGGCCCGTGAGCCATGGCCGCTGAGCCTGCGCGTCCGGAGCCTGTGCTCCGCAACGGGAGAGGCTACAACAGTGAGAGGCCCGCATACCGCAAAACAAAAAAAAGGAAGATAGTTGAAAATCTGAGTTTCATTCTTTCAACTTTCTCTTTCCTCTCAGCTGTGACTGTTATTGTTGATTTTTTTAAAACTTGCACAACTGTTCAGACAACTGCATTTTCCCCAGGCGTGTGGAGACCCCATGTCATAAATACCTTGGCTTCCCAAAGGAAAGCCTGTATTGAGGTCCCTGTGTCTGAGGTCTGACTACCATGGTGACAAATGAGGGTGGTAGGAGGGATCCTGTCAGATAACCGTGTCCTCAGGAGAGACCGTAAAAGCAGTTCCCCCACGTGCGTCTTAGAGAGTGTTGGTCACTTCTCCCTCACCCAGCAGGGCCTCACAGCAAACCATATAACCCGGGTCACTGAGAAAACATCTGTCACCAGCAGACTCGAAAGTCAGTAGCTTAAGGAGAAAGTCTGGGCCCGGAAGTTCCTTCACACCAGCTCACTGCCCTAAATTTCTATCCCTTAAGTTTTAGGCGCTGCTTGTGCAATAATTAATCCTCTGGGATTAATGTAAAATAGTTCAAGATAAATACTGCCCACTCCAGATCATTTATATTTAGGTATGTGGCCTACCAGCAGCATGGGTTAGTGCTTGATGGTGTTTTAGGTTTGTTCAGGTCTTTTTAAATCATCTTCCATCTTCTCGTATGTCTCTTCTGATCACCTTCTTCTCACCGTGTTAACCTGTGCTAAGAAATTTAAACCATCTTAACATTAGCTTAACTAAAACATAATTTAAAAGGCAGGTCATACTGAGAAGCAAAGGAAAGACCCCATGATGTATTCCACTACTAAACAGAGTTTTAGATTTTCTACTCCTTAGTTCTGTTCTTTAATCAAGAAAGTTGAGTCAATTTCATGTATTTAGTCGTGCACCCTGGTATATATTTTCCGACTGGAAAGTGAACCAGTCTGGCCTTGTAAAGAAATGGTTTTAATATTTTCCCCAGCTAAATCTTCTGAAGGGTTATGGCATCCCTACAGATCTAAATTCAGGCAAGCTGACCACGTTTCCTGCCATTCCTAAATATCCTCTGAGCTCTTTCACACCCTTCCCATCTGCCTGTGTTTGCAGGAGGCATGTCACACACACAGCATTAGGTAGAGCCTCCAGATCCCAACTGGCGGTCTGATACAGACACCCCCAGTGCTTTCTGCTACATCAGGTGCCCCATGAGAAATATGAACGTGAACACCCAGCCAGCTGGGACCAATGATACAACTGAACGAGCTCTAGCAAGTTAGTCACGTATACTAGAGGCCTGAGGAATGTGTGGTTGGTCAGCAGGTTTTTACTGAAGGGAGACAGAAGGAAGATACCTAGGTTGAATCCTCAAAAAACTGTTTCTTTACCCTTGGTGTCTATGGCAGTAGCCTCCTTTACTGAATATTAAGAGGTTTTCCATACCAAGTCACCTTTTTCTCATTTTAGTGTTAATGACTTCGGCAGTTTGCAAAATCCAAGTATTTCTTGGTGATGAGGAAAAAGACAGCCTCCTTGGGTTTACCTTCTTCCCGTTTTCTTAGTCCCCTGTCTGGCCTGGGTACGTTCAGAATGCACTGCTTTCGAGAAGGCCAGGACTACCCAGGCATGGCCAGTAATCTGTCACAGTGCATTAAAATTGCATTTTCTCCCCAGGCTTCAGGAGGTGAGCTGACTTCACAATTCCCATTGGGCCCCATTAATCCTCATTTGTGCATTTGGACCTTCTATTTAGAAGGCATATCCAGTATGGGCAGTACCAGATCTGCCTGATAGACAAACTGCAGGGGACGCACACGCATAGTGGCCCTCAGAACACCCACCTCCAGTGTTTTGGTTTTGCATCTATTCATACTAAGTTTTGACTGTTTAAGAGTTGTCTTTTTTTTTTTTTAAACAAAGAAACATCTGGGGACCTAACCCTGTAATTGTGCCCCTTTAAATACAAACTGTGTCTCTTGCACTGGAACATGGCTATGCCCCTGGAAATTGTGAGCAATACGGAAAATTAAAGTGGCCATGTTAACACTTAAATAAGAAAGAAATGCTTCATCTCTGTGGCTTCAGAAATTTGCCTCAAGAAGATTTCCTTGTGAAAAGTCCCATTCATTAGAATACTTTTTTCTTTTATGATTGTGTGTTTGTGTGTGTGGAAAGAAACTTGGTTTGACTTTTCTTTGCAAAGATGTTTATTCCTTTTATTTTTACAAAGTTCTTTCTACCCCAGTTCTCCTTCTCTTCGGCCCATACAAACAGACACTCACCCCCCAGCCCCTGGGGCTTCCCAGTGGAGCAGGCAGTCCTGGTTCCTGTCCTGCGAGAGTCAGTCAAGGCCCCGTGAACCAGGTGCTTGGCTACTTCACCAGTTTTATGAGCTCCCTTCCCTCCCAGACACCATGCCCAGAACATCCTAGAGGCGTCCAGCCCTGGGGCCTCCCCAGAACCATCTGGGGAAGGACCTACAACTCCCCCAAGCACCCTCTGACCTGGAAAGCATTCTCACCTGTGACATATTAGAAGGTGATGACCTGCTGTAATCACTGGGATTCCCTCCTTTCTGCTTCCTTTAAGCTGCAGCTGGTTCTCCTGCAGGTGGCTAGAGAGATGGGAGAATGAAATGGAAAGGAACTTAAGAGTGCTGTCCTGTCTGGTGTAGCTAAGATTGCCCCTACTCTGTCCTCGTTCCTTGTATTTCTGGAAGTTATGGTGGAGAGCCAAGAACCAGGCTTCGCTTAGTCTCTGACCAGCTTGTGCACCTCATGCGCTCAGTTTGCAAGGCTAATTCCCAGTGGTGTCATTCCGATCACAGTTGTGAAACTCTAGCACCTACTTTTTCCTGCCTTGACTCATTGCCAGTCGTTTCTAAGAAAGATGATTATTAGACTATGTGTTAAGAGATCTGCCAAATCAGAACTGGATGGATAATTAGGTAAATGATTGAGAAATCCAAGCAGCATTACTGCTATATTCATTACTTCTAAATTGCTGCAATTTGCTTAGAATACACAGGACACTGTATCCAAGAGAGAATATATACTACGTACTATAAAACATGGCCACGTGGGAAAAACCCACGCCTGCATTCTCCTCCCCGATTCTCCCCCTCGTCTGCCACCTTCACGCCCAGGAAGACTGAAGATTCGTGCTCACGCGCAGTAAGCAAATGTGACCCACAGCTTATAGATGAAAAGGAAGCCATTCTTAACCGATGTCTCTTTGGAAGTCAGGAAAATGTGAAGGACGATTCCTGTCCTAAAAGACATACCAGCACTGGACTTGTATCCATCTCTGTATGAGGGAAAGCCACGTGCTTAGCCCATCTGTTGTTAAAACATTCCTGAGAAGAGGCTTTGGGAACTAAGAAGTGCAGAATACCTTACTCTGATTTTTTTTTTTTTTCCCCTCTTTAGGTCCAGAGGGTGCAAACCTCTTTATTTACCACCTTCCACAGGAGTTTGGAGACCAGGACATCCTGCAGATGTTCATGCCTTTTGGAAATGTTATCTCTGCTAAAGTCTTCATTGACAAACAGACCAATCTGAGCAAGTGCTTTGGTATGCGAGAGAAGCCAGCTAGAATACACAGTGCACGGCCAGCAAGGGGTCATGGGAAGGCAAATGTAATGGCCCTTTGGTATGCGAGAGAACCCAGCTAGAATACACAGTGCATGGCCAGCAAGGGGCCATGGGAAGGCAAATGTAATGGCCCTTTGGTATGTGAAAGAAGCCAGCTAGGATACACAGTGCACGGCCAGCAAGGGGTCATGGGAAGGCAAATGTAATGGCCAGTATTTTAGATGCCGGGACAGGGCCTTCAGTGTGTGTGGTGGTTCCAGGTTGTCTGGATCCATGTAAGCAGACTGGGTCAAGTCATCTCATCAAAAAGGCAGAAAAGACCTGGGAGAAAGGACAGATCTGGGAAATTAAATGCCCGTATAGTAGGTAGTGCTCTATACTCAAGGTCCTTACTGCCTATAACTAAGTTAATCACCTTCCATAGTTGACCAGCAACAGTCTCTTTGGGCCCCCAGTTTGAACCACAGGCTTCACCGGATGGAAGGAGTTTACAGACTGTAGTGTAGTTGAGACTCCTGATACAGAATGGCACTGCAGACACTCTGCCACAAACTCCATACCCTTCCAGGTCCACCAGGACTCAGACCCTGTGGGTGTAGGCAGCACACTGTACTGGGGGCTCATTGTTCAGCATCTGGATGTACATAAAAACACACTCATCAATGCACACACCTTCACAGTAGGGGTGTGCTCAGGCCATGCCCAACACAGCAGCTCCAGGAGCCCAGGGACGGTGGCTGGTTTAGCTCATGGTGACATGAAGTGCTGTGGTGTGCTGGGATGCTGGGATCTGCAGTGGCTGCCTGAGTGGGTGGAGAGCGCAGGAGATGCAGGTGTTCTCAGAACACTGGACATCCCAGCTCCTCGGTGGCCCGAGCTGTCACGATCTCCTTCCTCAAGCAGCCTGGACTCTGGCTCCCTGGGGCGTTTTCGCTCCCTGAGAGAGTGTGGCAGGCTCACTGCATGCCCTCGTGTTTTACAGAGGAGGAGAACATTCATTAAATCTAGTTCTTGTTTTATTTTTTGAACCCTTGTGTTCCCCAAAGTAGTTTAGAGGCTAGAATGTTCAGAGTATATACTTCTAACTTGGCAAGTTCTGGCCCAGTTTGAGATGTAACATTTGCTTTAATCACTCCTCCGATTTAATGACTCACATTGGTCATAGGTGCTAAGAGTAGCACAAAACAAAATAAAGTAGAACAGATGTGGGCAGAGGAGAACAAATAGAAGTGGGCACAATGAAAAGGAAAGGTGGGGACGGCTCCTGCAGAGGCACAAACTCAGACTTGGCGCCCGGCTGACTGGCGACGGGCGGCCAGTCTGAAGAGGGTGCTCTGGCTTCTGAAACTCCACTCGCGTGACGTCCTTCTGATTTCCGTGCTGTCACCCAGGAAAGTCTGAAGCCTCTGTTGTTGGGGGAATTAGCGTGTCAGCCATTTCAAGTCACTGTTTCTATCCAAGTGGAAAGGCTGTTAGCCTGAACCCATTACAGGTATATAAACGCCCTTGTAATGGTTCATGAGAGAGCAAAATGGAAAGTAAGTTGTTATATAGGCTGTGTGCATGTCTCAGTAAGGGCTCCCCATTGGGAGCTTCCCTGAACAAGGCTTGCGAGCCAGACATTTATAGTCTTCATCGCTAAACAATGTCCTGAGCTTATTTGGAGATTAGAAAAAGGATTGTAGTTCATGGTTTGATTTTGAGAAAATATTTACCGTCTTGAAAAGAGATTATATCATCAGCCCCCAAACTACTTAACCACTGTGTTCATAATAATGCATCAGACAGTTGTATTTAGTGTTATGCACTATGTTTTCAGTTTTTATTAAAAAGCTGTAACATCCCATATGTAGGTGTCTTGGTGAGACAGCCTAACTTCTTGGGGTCCCAGGTTTGCTGGTTATAACGTGGTACCCCATTCTTCATCCTAAGCTCTTGGCCAGGTTTTGTTATCCACTTTGCCCTTGACCCATTTCCAGTCTTCAGTCATCTTGCTACCTCTGGATAAGACGTAGGAGGAAAGGAGAAAATCAGCAAAAATCTTAGATTCAAGATCACATTTATTGGGAATTTAAATTTAATAAAAATTTAAACCACCATTTTGCATACAGGCAGCCTATGAGAAGCTATTCTGCTTATACTGTATGCCTATTTTTATCAGCTGACAACTCTGCTAAAGAAGGTATATTTATGTCCTTTCTTTCTCCTCTAATTTGTAAAGGAATGTTCTCCTTAGCTTTATGCTTTAATAGTAGATAGATGGAGAACTTGGTATAAAACCTGAACAGTGGATGGTCAGAGCTGAAATCTAATCAGTATAACTTCCTTTCAACAACAAAAGTAAGTCGGGACGACACTTAAGAAACTTTTGCATGTAATCCCTGCCCCCAGTGCTGAAACAAAACTATGTGGTCAGAATTGTGTTTCTGGGTTTTGGCAGAGCCTGGGTGGTCCTCAGAAGCGTCTGAGTGTTGGTACAGAGAAAGGTGGTGGGAAGTATGTCAGGATGGCTGTGAAGCCCTGAGCTGTTTAGACTGTTTATTCTCCAGGACAGCTGGGGATACAAGGTAGCAATTTCCATTCCGCTGAATTCACCGGAGCTTTGAAAATGGAAGTTGAGATAAGGAGAACGGGCACAGCATTTCCCCTGGGCCCCTAGGTTCCTCTCAGTAACAGCTCCAAGTGGTAAAAATGAAGTACAAATTATTCTAGAGTTAATTCACCAACTGACCCCGTCCTGTATACATGGAGACTTGGAATGGAAACAGTCAGGGTCTTGGGCAGCATACCGGTTATGCAGCCCATCCCTCAATTATCCTGCTTTTAAACCTCACCTGGTTGGGGCATGTGAGCCTCTGGGGGCCCTTGGAGACCTAGAATATTTGTACCACTGCTTCTAGGAGCAGCACTTACTGATGTATTGGAGGCTCGTTCGGGATTCTAAGGGACTTTAAACACAAACAGGTTTGACTGAAATCAGTAAACAGACTAAATTGACTCAATGTTTGAGATTTTAGCCTTCTGCAGAGGGGTTTTGTTCTCATGATAGCAAGTTAGCGGTCCAGCCAGCTTCTCCACCGCTTCTCAGTGGATGTTTCCAGTGTTGCCCCTAAAACATGACCTGTAGTCCGTGAATTGAGTAGCGCTGACCCGAGACCGCAGGCTGGGCACGTGTCACTTAGCATCTGCAGCCACCCTCCTTTGCTCCCCTGCCTCTCCATCTTGATTCCCGCCCTCCCTCCGCTTGTGTCTTCCAGGTTTTGTTAGCTACGACAATCCCGTGTCTGCGCAAGCTGCTATCCAGGCTATGAATGGCTTTCAGATTGGCATGAAACGCTTGAAGGTCCAGCTGAAGCGCTCCAAAAACGACAGCAAACCTTACTGATCCTAACCCCAGAGGCTCCCTGCTCTTATTTTAGCTTTCTTAGGGTAAGTCCCACGAGCCAGCCTGGGCTCAACAGGAAAGGCAGAGGAGGACCACATTGCCAACTTTTACCAAGAGAGACGGTTATTTTTACAATAAGGCCTCCATTACCCCCTCCCAGGCCCCCTACCCAGTTCGCCATAAACTCGGCTACCTTGTTTCTATCGAGTAAACTCCTCCTCCACTTGTACCACTGTATTCTCCTTTGTTTTGCAATTTGAATCTCCTTTTACCTTTTTTGTTTTTTGTTTTTTGCTTTTTTAAAGAAAAACACGTACACAATAAATGACATCTTAACAACTTAAAAGGCAAACAAAGGCTAATGTGCAATTCTAACTCTGAGACCCACCTCCCCCTCCCCCACCCTGTGCCCCAGAGCACTGCCTGGAGAATTCGCCCCTCCTGCCCGCGCCCACCCCGCAGAGGGGCACCAGCTGTTCATAGAGGGTAAGGCGGTGGCCTAGCGCGAGAGAAAAGCCAGGAGAAGCACTTAAAAACAATACAAAATGTCTTTCCACTACATTTGGTTTGTTTTAATAAGTAGGATTTTATTTTAGTGTTCAAAGAAACATGACATTTATTGGTCAGATTATTACACTGGTTGTCTATTTTGTTATTGTTTTATTTCAGTTTTTAGAAAGGATTAATGTAAAAAAAGATTTAGAGATCTGTTTCTTAAAGCTACAGGGTTTAAAAATTAAAAATGAGTGAAAATACTTGATGTTTCTTGAAAGATAAATTTAATAATAAATAAGTAATACATAAATACTACATAAAAAGAAAGCCACAGGCCTGTAAATTTTATTTGTAAAAAAAGCATTTCTATTTTTGTACAAAATTTTTACTGCCTCAGAAATAATGGAAGTTATTTATTGCCTATTGTTAACTTATTGGGTACCTAAAGAGCAGCTCTCTGTGCTAGCCAGATCCTTCTGAAGTAGTCTCTAGAGGAATCGTTCTAGGAATGGGCTTTTTTTCACCGTTGAACCCTAGGCCTCAAGTCCATGCTTTATCCTCTCGGTGTCTGTATCTGTCTGATGATTTTGTTCGTAACTGCCATTATCTAGTTTACAGTTCAGTCGTCTGACTTTCCCCATCTGTTACATTCGTTGAAACTGGACCCTCTCCCCATCCTTTGCCAGCCCCTCACCCCAAAACGCCCAGAATCCATCCCCTCTCCCTCTCCGGATGGATTCTCTTGGGTTCCTTTGTGCTGTGGATAAAGAGTGTAAGAAATGCAAATTACGTGGATGGCTCGTAGACTCCCTAATGACCTAAAATTTGCATTAGTTTTTCTCCTGCACCCTGAAGAGTGATTTTGTTGCTGCTGCGTAGATTCTGTGTAACTTTTTACTCTCCCTGTTTTCTCCCTAGACATCTTCATGCCCGTTAGTTCACCGTTTGCCTAGCATGTCCCTGTGGCGTCTCAAAAAAAAGTTTCATCGTCCCGTCATTGTTTCTGATGTCTTTCTGACCTCACATCATATTTGGTTCTCCTACTGACCTTTGATCTAGTTTGACCTTTGAAATTTGCATGTGACCTCATCTAGCTATGAATTCTGGGAAGTCAATGTGAAAAACATTGCTGCATTCATGCAAGACTGAAATTTATTATTACACAAATTAATAATAGGAAAAAACCTGTGGCAAAAATGTTTCTTTTTTTTTTTCTTTTCTTTTCATAAAACAGACTTGAAAGTATTATACAGGGATTGGCATTCTTCCCGGTCACTGGTAACAATAGCAATATGTGTCCAGGGACACAGAATGTTGGTTTCTAACAGACTACTTCCAAAAACAGTTTGAGAAAAAAACTGTCTGATTTTAAGTCTCTAGAGGTCTGTAATAGTTTTTACATTTTTCAGGCAGTGTAAAGTTTTTTGATAAGGCCATTTTAGGTGGCTCACTTTCTCATTAAGATATATATATAGAACCACTTTTTGTAGATTAGTATAAGAAAAATATTTACCCTGTTTTGGGGCAAATGCTACCTATTTGTGTCACCTTTTGCTGAACTGACTCACAGTTAGACAATCCATGGTTTAATGCACATGAAATTACCTATATTTTATACTGTTTCAATGTACAGGAGAAAGGTTACTGTAAACTGTGTTAACGTTGGTGCTTCTGTGAATTAAGTTGTGGTTTCATCATGAGTCTCATGGTCTTAATGTTCTTTGTTGATAAGACAAGTTTAGAATTGGTTTACTTAAAACAAAAAAGAATTTCAAAAAAAAGTTGTTTGCTTACAAAAAATTTCATGTGAGGGAAAAAAGAAAACCTATTCCAGAGTAAGTTTTGTGTTGGCTTGTAAAGCATTGATGTCATTTTTTTTTTTTTTGTGGACTATTTAGATGTGTTTGTGTTCAGCAAAATGTGATTTTTTTTTTCTTTTAAAGAAAAAAAGTGAAAATATATAGTGCCAAATTCCAAAGGTACTTCCTTCCTAGAGCTTCAGTGTGTTTCTTGTGAGAAGTAATTTGATAACATGGGTATTTTATTATGTGTTTTGTATAAATCCCTAATATTTAAAAAACAAAAAACAACAAAAAAAAGAGGTTAAAAAGTTTGTTAACTTGCTATCCTGTGGTCTTGTTGCCTGAAATTGTTATTGTTTGTTATTTCTCTATGATGTTTTTTGTAAGACATTGTATAAGTGCCCATGTCTCACTTTTTTAACCACTCTGAACATCAATGCTGTGACGGCAACCTCACAATGTATTTTCTTCATGATATATGGAAACCTCTAAGGTGAGAAAGTTTTGAACTTTTAACCCTTTCTACCCAGTGCTATCTGGAATGTTAACTTTTTATGCTGTCATCATTTTCATTTGTTTTGGGGGTGTTTCTAATTTGGATTTTTTTTCTGCATATATCTTTGAGTTGTTTCTGTCTTTACTACTACTTTATCCTTTGGTTGAGAGCCAAAAGAAAGGAAAAAAATAACACTTTAAAAAGAGTTACTGGATAAACCTGAGGGGAACAGTAGCTAGTCAAGCAACTAAATAAACCTTAAATTCAATATGCTTTTGAGATCAGGTTAGTGGTATGTTCCAGTTTAGAATAATTTCATATACCTTCCAGTTAAATGGCTTTGTGATGATGGGGTAGTCTTTTGAGGGATTTTTGGTTTTGTTTCTTACCAGCCATTGTGCAGTGGATACCTCTGAATAAGCCAGGTGTCTGGAGTTAGAAGTTGACAATCCTTTTCCCTGCCTTTTTGTTTCTTTTGAATTGAATGCATCTAAAGGGGACTGACCATCAAAGGCAAACTCAGTTCATCACAGTTACTGACCAAATACCTAGCACCCGTTCCTGCTGCCACTTTCTAAAGCGCCATATTTCTTTGACTTTCACTTCATGTGAGCAGGTCTCTTGCTGTCCTGACAAAGCCCAAAGTCATCCCCACAGTCCCAAAACACACTCCTGCCTTTCTGGAAGCTTCTTTGTCTCTCTGATGGAGTTCAGAAACTGCTGGCTCCATTTCCTTCCTCCTTTTCCCCCGCTCACCACCCTGTTTGGTTTAATATGTGTGTGGATGTGATAGCCCTGGGATGGAAAGGACTAGCCTCTAATAATGATGCAAAAAAAAAAAAAAAAAGTTTCCTTCTTATAGCACATGCACTTACAATGAAATGATCTGTATTATCCTCACACGTGTTTACTACTGCTGGGGCCTTCCTTCATCCTTCGAGGGCTATTTTGTACTTCCTGCAGCAAACAAACAGCTGAATAACAGAGGTTATCGCACTTGTCTCTCTCGTGTAGATGATAATATGGTGGTACACAGATACATCCATAAGAACACAAGACAACACCATTTGAATTTCCTAGACTGTCTCATTTAGAACCTCTTATCAAGTATACAGAAATCTTAAACCATGTTTTCCCATTTCTTCACTGAAGCCAGAAGCGCTCCAGTGCCCTCCTCCCACTGCCTGCATCTCCCCCAGGGGAGCTGATTGCACTTGACAAGAGGCTCAGGGTGGGCACTTAGAGCTGAGTGTTTATTCTGCAGGCAACCAAGACAGACTGTCTGTTACAGGGAAAGTCGTTTTCTTTTTTTGGGCGGGGGGGCATGTTTCATTGCTAAAAAGATAACCCTCCTCAAAGACAAGTTGTCCTTTTCTTCACTTTCTCTCTTAATATCAAAAGGAAAAAGCTGCAAGGGTGCGAAGGGCCTGTGCCAGAAGAAAAAACAAACACACAGGGAAACTGCTTTTTTAAAAATCAAGTGTAGACAATAGTCATTTTTAAACTAAATTAGAGAATTGCGATCAAATGGCAGTCCTCAAAGGTGTAACAAGTTCATCTTTCTTTCACCATAGGGGTTATAGTTCTTTGGCTTGTGCTACTCTGGACTCATTTTACTGTTTCTGTTTTTATTATCTTAAGTGCTAATTAACAAGAAGAAATAAAATTTTAAAAAAACCTGTAGTTTCATTACCTTTTTGAATAATGTCATACAAAAAAATGTATGTGTTTTTTTGTGCTGTGAGAATTGTTGTTTGTAGATTAATAATATCATTTTGTTTAGAATTACAAAATAGTTTTTAAATATTGTCTGAGAAAAGCCAAAGTTAATGCAACCTAGTGGAAAACTGTAAGACCATTTGAGTATTGTTTCTGTTTTATTGATGCATTTGGATTTTGTTGTTTGATGGAATTTGAGCCAAAAAAAATACGCAGGCTTTCCTATTTCTACAACTGATTGTACTTATGCATTTTGTACCAGTGGAACTTTTTATACTGGAGATTAAAAAAAAAATGGAAATTTTTGTGGCTTACTCTAGTGGGCCCCCTGACAATGACTGATTTCAAGTTTGATTTCTGGTTGATAGAAAGAAAGTTGCTTTTCTTTTGAGAATTAAAAACTTTGGCTTGATTTCTTTTTTCCCTTTGCTTATATCTAGCATTAGAATTTTGTCTTAAAATACAGCGGTAAGTTTCACTTTTTATTCTGTATTGTGCAGTTACACAATAAGGTAATTAGATTTAGAAGTACTCAGTCACTTTAAGTGGATAAATGTATTAGTTAAAACTTTAGGGGTTTGCTTTTTTGCTGTTTAGATCAAAGTTTTTTCTGATTCTTCTGTCCTCATTGTGAACATAACCGTGTAGTTGAAACAGTCAAACTTATTTTTGTAACGTATGTTATTGTGTGATGCAGTTTTTTGCTTCTGTCTCCAATATTAAACCATTTTCCTAATACTTGTTTCTCTCTCTGAGTGTTGTATTGTTGGTAGTCATTATATGTTGGTGATACATCTACACACCTCACTGTTTCACGTATGTTTTTTTTTCTATATGTTGTGTAATAAGATACAGTCGATTCCACCTAAGTGAATATCTGATTTGGGGAAGGGGGAAACTACACACCAGCCACCTCTAATTTATGTACAACAGCCTATTTTAACCACTGCTTCCAAGATTTATACTTATTTCTATGGTCCACCTACAGAGTTGGATTTGCCAAGACCTGATCTGGTCTTCTCACCACACTGGTATATTTCACTTTCTCTCTCCCCTTCCCTTGGGTATATGTATGCAGTTCTTAACACTCATTAAAAATGGCTCTGCTTTGCTGCATAAATCTTCAGAAGGGAAGCAGCAGAGCTGGGGTTTCTTCTGCCTACCCATGACTCCAAAGGCATATCATTACCATCAAACTCTTCTCAGAAACCAGTCACATTTTTTAAAAGAAAGAGGTGAGCTCTCAAGGGAAGAAAAAATAAACTTAACTTACCTTGTGAATAGATGTGAAAGGTGTTAAATTTAAATCTATGCGTTGCCATCAATCAATAGATATGTATAGAAAAGTAATTTAAATTATTTATTTTTAGAGCTAACTGAATCCAGGAGCAGCTTTAATTATTAAAACTAGTGGAAGAGAAAAGAAATACTTGCAAGGGCTCAAATGGAAGCTCTACTCAGTCTGGTGGGATGGGAGGGGGAAGAGGTAAAGTTTCTCATGCCCAAGTCTTCATACTATATCATCCGTTTCCAAATGAAAGCCAAGAAGGCCATATGCATCCACACACTCCTTCCGGAATGAGTGTATATTGTGTAAAAAGCCTTGTCCCCCACGATCGCCCCAACCCCAGCTAGCAAAAAGAGGACTAGAGAAGAAAACCATTCCTTGTATGCCCTCGAAAGCTGAAGCCACAGGCCCTCCTCCCTCTTCTGCCCATCTCTTCTGCTCAGGAATCTGACTGCTCTCCAAGTGCTCTTACAAGATTCCATTGACGTCTGCTCTGATCTCTCCCTCCAACTCTTCAGACGCACAAGCTCTGTCCAACTCAGGCCACCCAGCACCGGCAGCCTTCCTCTGGCCGCCAAGGAGATTTTCCCTGCAGGTGCTCAGGCTCCCCACCCTCCGGTTTCGGCAGCCCCTCTGACCCCTAGACTGTCTTTTCCAGTCGGCTCAACAACAGAGGGGCCGGGTGAGGCGGAGGGAAGGAGGCTCTTTCCCCCATAGGCCGAACACCTCAGTGAAGTAACTTCCACCAGCTCTAAACCTGCACAGATGAGAGCTGACTTCCTGCCAATACTTCTGCTTTAAATCTCATCAGAGCCTTCATCAGTTTGCCTCTGAAAACCCACTGCTTACATTAGTGGGAAAAGACGGCTATGGGTGTGATTTTTCTTTCTTGTATGTTATTATTTGGGGGGGGTGGAGGGTGTGAGGGAGGGGAGAAAGGGGGTAAAGAGGGTGATCGATTCTTTCCAAGATGCAAGTGTTTACTTTTTAAATATTTAAGTCATATAAGTATATAGGTCCACCATTTGGCACAAGGCAAAATACTCAGCATGAGTAAAAGAAGGGAAAGACAAAGCCAGATTTTTTTGTTGTTTTGCAAAAACAACAATTCTCCAAAGAAGGGGACAAAAATGCTAGTTCCCTTAAGCACTTAAGACTGTAAAGTTTGTCCCTGCCTAAATTCACACTTTCCCTTTTGATTCTTTAAAACACCACTGCAGTGTCACCAAGGTGTATCTGCTTGCCATACATGGACCACCTTGGGAAATGACAGACCTGTCAACGTTTACCTTGCTGATGGAAGCCACACATCTGCACAGCCCACAGCAGTTACGAGCAATCTCGGGCTGGCACTCTTAGCTGGCAGGCTAGGAAACACAGTGAACATTAATGTACTGTGAATCGTTCCTGATAAGTGAATAAAAACATTGTGACCAAACAATCAGCTTATTCACTTATCAGGAATCGACTGTTCTGCTAACCCGCTGTTTCTGTTTTTCATCTCTGTTGTAGCTCACTATTTCTGCTGTGTTCTGTTTTCTCCTCTCGTGCTTGGGCAAAATCACTGGGAATATTATCTTCATGTGACCATGAAACGTTTATATCAAGTGAAAATGATATCTTAACAAAATCTATGCACTTGCTATCAGGAACACAATACTGGATGTGTCTTATATATATTGAACTATATAGTACTCGATTTCTTAAATAAAGCTTAAGAAAGGATTCTTGTGTGTAAAGTTAATGTGATTATTTTTCAAAGCAGTGTTTCTAAGGGGCATTTTTGTTCTTTTCTGTCTTGAGTGATACAGGTTATTTTTCATTAAAATTATAATCACTGGCTTTATGACTTAATATTCAATAAATTGACTTTGGAAACAAAATGGAGTGGGGGGAAGTTCTTCCTGGTGCATTGTAGTGAGCGTCATCTGGAACATCATGCCCTTACTGGTGGCCCTGGCAAATCTCTACCCAGGCGCTGAGGGCGGCAGAAGAGAGCAGTCCCTTCGCCACCAAAAGACACCTGGAAAGCGTCCAGAATCCGCCCTAACCTAGAAAACCCAACTGCCTTTCTAAATGCGATCGATCTCTTTAGGCTCAGAAGAAAGGGGACGAAAAAGAAAGGCAGATCGAAGAATAATGCTGGTCTGCACCAAAGTTTTTCCAAAATGAGATGACACTAGAACCATACCCTGCTGGAGAGCAATGGCGGGTCTATTCAGGACTGCAAAACGAGCGAAAGCAAGAGAAGGGGTTTGATCACTCAGGATGAGAAGGGTAAAATTTCAAAGCTATATGTGAGAGACATCCTGTAACAGTTGCAAAGCTTATATGGGAGGCCTGCTGCTTGGTCCTTTGAAGGAATATTTTTGAAATTTTTCCTACAGGCCATAAGTCTGAACAGAATGGCATTTCCTGTTAGATTTTTTTGCTTTGAGGTTTTATGTTAGATTAGTTTTTCTTGCTTGATGTTTGATTTGAAGAAAAAGTCGTAAACTTCTACTTGCAAAACGGCACAGGCATCCTAATCCTTTATAAAACAAATCTTAGTCATCCCTGATAGCGAGGGACAGGGAGATACAGTTAATGAAAATCCCCAGATAATCCAAAATTCTTCGACCAGTCTCTGCCTCCCCCCACCCCAAACCTCCTACTCATATATTTGTCATCAAACCAAAAACTTCTAGTGAGAGATAGAGAAATATCCAAGGGTAGCAAAATGAAAGGGTCGAGATAGACGTGCTTACTGGAGCCCATGCAGTTTGAGGTTGGAGTAGAGGTTCTGTTTTAAAAAAGGTTAAAACCACTGGTCTACGTGAACTGGGCTCGGGTGTTGAAGAGTTGGTGGGCTTACCTTGAGCATCAGTCACATTGCTAGAAAGAATCCTCTTTATGAAAAAGGACACATCTGAGGCAATAATGGGAAGAAGAGCTCTGAGCCTCAGGGAAGAAAGGATGAACACCGACATACTCCGCTCTCAGGTCTGCAGCCCCGATTCCATCGTCCCCCACTCCGGAACTCACCAGCCGGGGGCTGCGTGCTGGGAGTCCAGCTCAGAGCCACAGCTTGAGGGTCTGAGGGTCTGTCAGGCGGGAGCTGCTTTAGGGGGAATGCACCGTTTCTTTGAACCTTTCGCTACTGGCAGTGAAGCTGCCTGGCACCAACTTCTGCCTGCCCACATCTGAAGGATATTTTTAAAAATAAAAAATATATAAATATGTATATTGCATACAAAAATATAAAAGACATAGTATGTGTTCTGCAACTGATCAAAGCCCCAAATAAAAGTCCCCAGCTTTGAGACGCTAGATGACCCCTCAATCGCGAAGCTGGTGTTAAAGGTAGGGAAAGTATTCAATACTTAGGCATACTCTCTGGAGCCACGCTGCCTCAGTTGGAATGCCAGCTCTAGCACTCATCACCCGTGTAACCTCTCAGTGCCTTAATTTCCTCGTTGGCAAAACGGGCATAAGAATAATACCTACTGCAAGGGGTTGTTATGAGGATTAACTAAGCCAATACTTAAAAAACGCCGAGATGAGGATCCATCACATTGTAAGTATTCAGTAAGGTCAACCAGTTAGTAGCAGTGTTCGTATCTACCGACATGGTGGGCTAAGCTCCCCTCCACTGGCCTGGTCTATTACTTTTTCCTGCTAGGTATGCACTCAGCCATCCCCAGAGAGCCCCACAGTTCTCCCTGGGTTCCTTGGACAGCTATGGACAAGGTCTGACCAGAAATCGCAGCTCCTCCAGCAGACATCTCTGCACCAACAAGCTCCAGGACAGGCTTTTCCCCTCGTGAGAAACTGTACACTAGAGGCATACCCACCCTTAGGCTGCCCTAAGCCTTGGGGAACAACAACCAACTCCATCCTCAGAAAAGGAAACTGATTCCTCACTCGAATCCACCCCTCCCTACCTTTAAGTATTATATTTAGGTATCTCTTACCCAAAAGAAAAGCCCAGCCATCCAGTTTAGGTCCTATGTGGGAATGACAAAATCACCTGGAGGTTCGCCTGTAACAAGCCTGTAGGTTCTATGCCCTTCCAAGGCAAAGCTGTGTCCTCAGTAGCAACCAGAACCTATAGGTCTTTGACCACCTTGGGAAGAGCAGGGGTCAGAGCTCAGAAGCCTAGATAGAGCCAAGTAGAGAGCTTGCTAGACCACGTCACCACACGCCCACTTTAACCAAAGGCGCTCTGCTTTTGCTTGTTTTATTTATTGGTGGTCCACGCAGAATTTTATTTAGAAATACAATCTTGTTACTAAAAGCACAAAAGGTTAAAAACCACTGCTTTAGAAGAAGGGAACTCAGACAGGGCCACCATTACCTAAGCCCCGTGACATACATTTATTGTCTTTGGAATCATTCTCTCCTTCCTTCTCCTTTCCTCATCTCTCTACCACTTCTGTGTTCCCATAGTTCACCGTCTGCGACGCATCATGACATTCACTATTTGCTGTGTGTTTACACGTTGCTTACGTCTGTCTCCCAAGCTAGACTGTGAGCTCTTTGAAGGAAGTGACTGTGTCTCATTCATCGCTGTATCCCCAGTGCCTCAACACAGTGCCTGCCATATAGTCAGTGTTCAGAACTGTTGGATGGACGGATGGGTGGGTGGATGGATGTAGCAGGTGACCTTGCTAGGGAGGGAAAAGCATTCCTTATGAAATGGACAACTCAGGAAATACTTGTGGAGAGAAGTCTGACTATGGGATGGGATGAGGATGGTGGAAACTGGTGGCAGAAGTCAGGAGCCACTATGGGAGGCCTGGGGCACAGATGGGGGTGAGGAAGAACACTCAACTGCTCGTGCACCCCAAATATGCAGGCTCTGCTTCGTTGCCACAGAGCTAATCAGCTACTGGGTCCTGAGTGGAAAAACATTCCTGCAATTAGGTCAAACTACCTTGAGTACTACTGTCATCTTTTCTTAAGCTAAATTTTGTACCCTCTCAGGAATATTTTATACCTAGGGACTGTCCCTAGATATATTCTTCATGTCTAAGAGACCAGACCACTGACCTGAGTACAAATCAATAGAAAACTATGACTAGAGGCACTGGATGCTAAGGCACTCCTGAGAAGCAGGTCAATTCACGTCCTCTCAGCTGCAGCTACTGTTGAGCCTGCCAAGTTAGTGCCTGGAGCAGGATGGGGCCCGGGCCAGCCCACAAGCAATACAGTACAACTAAGTCATCAGAACAGCCTTGAAGGCAAACAGTCCATGCTGCTGCCAGGATGCCATGTAGCTCCAGGCATCCAGGAAATGCACTTGAATACAAGTAATGTGTCCCAACCTGTCAACAGCTACCACAAGGCTAATGCATAATCCACTAATCATTCATTTGTTCAGAAGTCATGTACTAAGCTGCCACTCCACGCGAGGCACGCGGGTAGGGGCTGGCAGTGCAAAGAAAGTAATACATGGCCCTGCCTCCAGGACTTTGTCTTGATTAGCATATCTGCCAAGTAAGGAGAAACCCTTCAAACCAGCAAGAGCAGATGGTCCAAACAAAACACTCTCTCCCTGCAGTGGACACTATGTCAACACAGCACCCACACAGGATTATGTACTGAAGAGCCACAAACAGATGGCAGCTGTTTCAGACCTTCTAGTCCTTCACGGAGCTCAGTGCTACTCAGACACAATGTCTCCCTGGCTAAAGAGTAAAGGTCTGTCCTAGAGAAGAATGAAATACACTGGGTGATGGGGGTGGAAGAGCTGGGAAAGTCTTCTCAACACCAACGTCTCTACCCAGGGCAGAGCTGAGCAAAGTGGCCCTATGTGCTCAAGAGTCGTGTTTCCCAACTGACCATCTACGGCACATTCTTAGCAGTCTACAGAATGTGTTCCATCCAATAACTTCACCACTTAAAAAACTATGACCTGAAACAAATGGGAGCCTTCCCATCAAGGAGTACAATGCGGCAGGGAGGGGACTGGTAAGGGGAGACAGAGTCTCGGCGGGAATGAAGGATGGGGCTATGGCATGAGAAAATGTCCTGCAGAGCTGACGGTGCAGTCAACATCCACCTGGAGCTCCAGGGTCTCAAGCCCAGAAGCTTGCTCTTCACCCAGCTTCCACCTTCCCATCCCACTGTGAGTGTGTATTCCACATTCCAGGTTCATCTTCCCCTACAGGGCTAGACATACCCCTACTCCTAGTAATCCCCTTCAGCCCAGTCACGTATTGGCTAGAACAAACCAAAAAGGAAACACTGAGGACTCTGTCACTAAAGAATATGATAGGAGTGACATGACCAAGAAGGTGACATAGGTCATTCCTGACTTCACTCCCCTTTACAAGAACAGCTGACAACTATCATGGGCAAGACACCACTGAGAGAATCCTGGGAACAAAGTGAGGCTGCAGCACCCCACTCTCCACCACCACAGAGATAAGACAAACTGCAACAGAAGGGTAGGAGAAGCAGCCACATGTGGACCACATGCCCCTCCCCCAGACCAGAGCAGCACAGCACCATGCCAAGAGCTCTTCCCAGAGCCTCCGGTTCCTCCAGTGAGAAAAGAGAGCCCAGGGGTGACATCCAGCCTCCCTAGCACAATAGGGCACTTTGTGGGAGCCCCAACTCTAGCTTCACCCCATAGGAATCATGGGAATCCGTGAGGCTCAATCACGGGGAGTCTGATCATGATGAAGAAGTGGGGAGGGGGTTCCAGCAACCAGCCCTTGGACCTTGGCAGACCAAGTTCC